CACCTCACCAAGAAGGGATCCTTACTCTGCTGAAACCCCATGGCTCTTTTTTTCAATGGCTGCCAGTCTGGGTTTTAATCTGCACGCAGATTAAACACACCACCACCACCACCACCACTCAGTACCCCCCCCCCCACCAGTCCTCCTTTGCAAACCCATTTCTGACTCCTCACAATTGGTTACACCTGCCAGGACTCCCATATTATTGCAAGTTTACTGGGCTGCCATCATGTGTCTGGGCAGGTGTGGCCCCATGGCGTGAAGCCAATCAACTCCGCACTCCCACACGGAGCTGTAACTGGGGAACTGCCCCAGTTATGTCTTGGATAGAAGCCACTCCCTTCTCCCTGGCTCAAAGCATAGCCACAGCTATTTAACATATCTATGAAACCAGTTAAAGGTTATAGATACGTTAAATGACCATTCCAGAGGTTAGCTGCAAAACTGTTGCTATGCAAAACAGCTCTCAATGGCCCTGCTCCACTTGTCCCTTCCCCCTGGGGGGGGGGCGGTGTTGAGGACATCTTAATATTTCCTGGACACCCTGAGCTCTAGACCCCATTCCAAATTCTTTTTTTGGGGGGCCCCCTTTCTGGCTGTACCCTGTTACAGCACAGCACATAGAAATTATTACAAAAAACATTAAGGTTGTAAGAAGCCGAAGATCAAATCAGCTTCTACTGTGGGCCATTTATTTATTTAGCAAACATTTATGGAGAGCCGGCTATGCACTAGGAATCATACTCGGTACTGAGGATACAAAGATTAGCAAGACAAACTAGATCCTTGTCTGCCGCGGTCCGGCCGCAGCGGGTCAAGGGGTCCCACAGGTGAGGGTAGGTGTCGGCTCTGGGTAACAGACGACAACACGCCTCAAAGGACAGTGAAGCTCTGTTCCATTTATTGCAAGTACAAGCAGGTTTTTATATTTTCATTTTAGGTAGTGATTAACATTTGCAGTATAACGTGATCATTTAAGCAGAAAAAATTAACACAAAGGTAATCAGTAAAAGTACAAAAGTTCCCATAGATTTAGTTATAATAAACAAAGGTTATTTTAACCAGGAGAGCTATTAATCAGACAATTAGAAGTATCTTATTGTATATTAAAGTTTCTCAGAATTTGTCATAGGGCAAAAGGATACACTAGATTGAGTAGAGATAATAGGAAATTTATTATAAGGCCCTTGTGATGTCTAACTTAGCTATCTATCTTTTTCTGTCTAAAATGTTTCTCTGTGTACTATAAATTCTGACTCTTTAGTAACTGTTTAGTTTGTAATAACTAGCCAGCTTTTGTTATTTCTTTGCCTGTCTAGTTGATACATATCCTTATTCAAGGTAAAGGAGGGGCTATTCCTACTTTGCAGGGGGCTTTCAAGGGTACTTCTTTTAAGTTTCTCTAGGAGTTCTTCTATAGACATGTTTTGTACTTTGATTCCCTCTAAGAAAGCAGTGAGATCATCTCCTGATTTCCTAGAGTTTTCTAACTTATCTTGGGTGTTTTTCCAATGATCTGTTATTGATTAAGCTTGAATTCTCAGAATGTTCTGGTTGTATCTTTGTACCTATATTCCCTGACGTTTCTAGTATGATATCATTATTCTGTTCATTGAGCAGGGAAAGGTCTAAGCGCACTATCTGAATCACTGCAAAAGGGTATTCATAATGATTAAAGCAGAAAAGGTCATGATCCCCAAAGCAAGCACAATCACAATAGGTATTGCAGGGCCTTCCATGCCACATCCACCAGGTTGGAAAATGCTTCCTTGAAGTCTTACACCCCCTCTCAGGACCTTGTCACGGAGAGAGGGATCCAACCGTGGACGCGGCAGTGGACGTGGCACTTGTCCTCATAGAACTTAGAATCTGATATCTAGAAAAACTGTGTGTGTGTGTGTGTGTGTGTGTACATATTTTTTACTATTTGCAAAGAAAATGAGTATGCTTCCACCTCTTTCCACCTCCCCCATCAGTTACTCCCCTCTAACACTTTTTTATGACTTTCAGTTCTAGTATTTCTCTCTGTTTAAGTATCCTTTACACCATAACTTGATACACTTAATTGTCTTTTTACATCTATTAATTGACATCTGTTTTAATATCTTTTGGACTTGGGTTATAAAACGTAAGTTAATCAGTTCTTGACTGGTGTACCTCAGTTGGTTGGAATGTCGTCCCATAGACCAAAAAGTCGCAGGCTCAGTTCCCAGTCAAGGCACGTACCCAGGTTGTGGGTTTGATGCCTGGTCAGGATGCACACAAGAAGGCAGTCTATGTTTCTCTCTCATATCAGTGCCTCTCTCTCTCTTCCTCTCTAAAAGCAATGGAAAAAAATGCCTCGGGTGAGGATTAAGTGTTGATCAGTGCATTTAAGCTACTTCATATCTTATTTCCCCCTCTGTTCATCCAGGCATTTATTAGTTATATTATTTCTAAATTGTCGGGGCTTTTTCGTATTTCTAAAGTTGTTTAAGGCGTGGCTCTATATTTAAAAATATTTAACCCTTGCCCCTAGTCTTTTTTCCTAGTCATTTTGTACTTAGCTGAAATTTCCTATAGTTTCTTTTTTTTTCCTGCTGCACTTTGCCCTATTCAAACTTTGTACTTCAGTATTCCTGAGTAAAAGTAGCAAGAATATTAACAGCAACATTTATTCTGTACTTAGTGTGTGGCTGGCACATTTATTATTTGTTTTTTTCTTTTTTTATTTAGCTTATACAGTTTATCATAAATAAATGTTTGGTTTTTTGTTTTTTGTTTATTTCTCCCATCACCCTTCTTTCCTCCCCTTTTGCAACCATTAGTTTGTTCTCTGTATCTGTCAGACAATGTCAGACAATTGGTCTCTGTATCTGTTGGGTCTGTTTCTGTTGTGTTTTGTTTTGTTTAGATTCCACATGTAAGTGAAATTATATGGTATTTGCCTTTCTGTCTGGCTTTTTTTACTTAGCATAATATCCTCTAGGTTTATCTGTGTTGTTGCAAATGGCAAGATTTTATTCTTTTTATTGCAAAATAATATTCCATTGTGTATGCGTATGTGTATATGATGTGTTTATCCATTTATCTATTGATGGATAACCTAGGTTACTTTCATATTTTTGTTTATTACTAGTAATATTGCAACCGAACATAGAGGTGCATGCATCTTTTAGAATTAGGATTTGTAAATGCCAAGTGAAATTGCTGGGTTGTATGGCAGTTCTATTTTTAACTTTTTGAGAAATCTCCATACTGCTTTCCATAGTGGCTGCACCAATTTACAGTGCCACCAACTTTCTCCATATCTTCACCAGCACTTGTTTGTTGATTTATTAATGATAACCATTCTAACAGGTGTGAGGTGATATCTCCTTGTGGTTTTAATTTGCATTTGTCTGATGATTAGTGACATTGAGCATCATTTCATATGTCTGTTAGCCATGTGTATGTTACCTTGGGAGAAATGTCTATTCAGCTCCTTTGCCCATTTTTTAATTGGATTGTTTGGGGTTTTGGTATTAAATTGTATAAGTTCTTTACATAGTTTGGATGTTAACCCCTTGTTGGCTGTATCATTAGCAAATATCCCATTCAGTAGGTTGTCTTTTTATTTTGTTGATATTTCTTCACAGTGCAAAACCTTTTTATTTTGGTATTTCGATGTTTCATTGGGAGTTTTTATCATAAAAGGATATTGAATTAAAATGTATGTATTTAAATTAGACATTAAAAAAGTGTGTGGAAGTGCTTTGATAAAGGAAATAAAGGTAGAATGGGGATTGTATAAAAAGGGCAACTAATCCTTATTTGGGAGATCAGAGAAGGCCTACCAGAGATATGTTAAGAACAGCAGGATAAGTAGGGAGGGGACTGGACTCTAGAAGTTCCTGTTAGAGGACAACATCTGCAAAGGTCTTGATATGAAACAATATTGTGTAAAGAGAACCAAAGGCAGATCCTGAATATATGAGTTTTGTGGATAGGAGGGACCCAGCAAGAGGAGTCTGTGCTAAAATGTGCTCAAGAGTTTATATACTTGCTCCTCAAGTCAGTGGGAAGGCATAAAGATTTTTATTCTTCAATAATGTTCCTAGCCAATATAAGACAACATGAGTTCTCCTGGCTGGTGTGGCTCAGTGGATTGAGTGCCGGACTGCCAAGCAAAGGGTCGCCATTTCGATTCCCAGTCAAGGCACATGCCTGGGTTGTGGGCCAGGTCCCCAGTGGGGGGAACATGAGAGGCAACCAACATTGATGTTTCTCTCCCTCTCTTTCTCCCTCCCTTCCCCTCTCTCTAAAAATAAATAAATATTTTTTTAAAAAAGAAAAAGAAGAGTTGTGCCAATATGTTTATGAGTATATAATAAAGTCCTATTTACTAGTGAAAAACAAACAAGCTTTAGAACACTGAACAGAGCTGTCATGAGGCTATTGTCTCTGGTGCCAGTTTGAACCAAAACTGACAGAGTGGTATCATGCAATCTTTTGATTTTACACTGATATGGAAACCACTTTACATGGATTAGGCAAGGTGGTAGAGAAGCTAAGAAAGCCCCATGAAGGAAAACACACAAAAATACCACACTTTCTACTACTTTCCTTTTTTTAATCTTAACTTATTTTTCGTGAAGGTGTTTTTTTGTTTTGTTTTGTTTTTAAATACTTGCAAAGAGGAATCATCTATAAGAAAGCAAGTTTTACTGACTTCTATTTTATTTGCTAACTTCTCTGGCTCATAAAATGATTATAATTAAGATAACAGAGGAAACCTATACTTTAATTTTTGTCTAACTTAAAACATGTTCTAAAACATGGATAATTTCAAAAATTGAAGAGTGTTTCAATATCTACTCCCAATGTTGAGGACTTTAATAAACAGGTCTTATATGAGTTGATCTCATCTTTAATGTCTGAAATAAACTATCTAGTTAGCAGATCTTTTATCATAAAATATTCTGTATGTGGCATTTATCAAAAGATTATGTATATTGACTTTATATCTTCTTCTCCTTCAGATACTTTTCTTTGGATTCGGGTGGCTTTTCTTCATGCATCAACTGTTTAAGGACTATGAGGTAAGAAGAGATCATTCTGATGATGCTAATACTGTATGAATTTGAATAATTTTAAAATGGGGCAAAAAGAACCCTGGCTGGTGTGGCTCAATGGATTGAGCTCGGGCCTGGGAACCAAGCAACCATGGTTCGATTCCAGTGAGGGCACATGCCTGGGTTGCAGGCCAGTTCCCAGCAGGGAACACACAAAAGGCAACCATACATTGATATTTCTCTCCCTCTCTCCTTTCCTTCTCCTCTAAATATAAATGAATAAAATTTTTTTTTAAATGGGGCAAAAAGAATACCTCCTTTGAAGAAAGGTCAATTCCAAGATAGGAAGCTTTTGTCAAAACAAATCCTATATAATTTTTGGAGAATATGATTAGGCTTGGCAGATTTTTTCTTTTTCTTTTTTTTAATTTTATTGATTATGCCATTACATTTGTTCTATTTCCCCCCCTTCATTCCCCTCTACCCTGCACTCCCCTCCCCAATATCCCCCCCTTTAGTTCATGACCACCTGTCTCAAGTTCTTTAGATTCTGTATTTCCCCTACTATTCTTATCCTTTCCTCTATTTTCTACCTGTGGTCTATGCTACTTATTTTCTGTACCTTCTCCCCCTTTCTCCTTCTCCTACTCCCCTGTTGCTAACCCTTCATGTGATCTTCCTTTCTATGGTTCACTCCTGATGTAGCTGTCCTCTGAGTTTGCTTTTGTTTTAGGTGTGGTTGTTAATCACTGTGAGTTTGCTGTCCTTTCACCTTTCATATTTTTTATCTTCTTCTTTTTCTTAGATAAGTCCCTTTAACATTTCATATAATAAGGGCTTGGTGATGATGAACTCCTTGAACTTTTTCTTATCTGAGAAGCACTTTATCTGTCCTTCCATTCTAAATGAAAGCTTTGCTGGATAGAGTAATCTTGATTGTAGGTCTTTGGATTTCATGATTTGGAATACTTCTTTCCAGCCCTTTCTTGCCTGTAAGGTCTCTTTGGAGAAATTAGCTGACAGTCTGATGAGAACTCCTTTGTAGGTGACTGTCCCCTTAGCTCTTGCTGCTTCTAGGACTCTCTCCTTCATTTTAATCTTGGCTAATGTAATTATGATGTGCCTTGGTGTGTTCCTTCTTGGGTCCAACTTCTTTGGGACTCTCTGAGCTTCCTGAACTTCCTGGAAGTCTATTTCCTTCGCCAAAATGGAGGAGTTCTCCTTTATTATGTTCAAATAAGTGTTCCACTCGTAGCTGTTCCTCTTCCCCTTCTGGTACTCCTATAATTCGGATGTTGGAGCATTTTAAGATGTCCTGGAGGTTCCTAAGTGTCTCCTCATTTTTTTGAATTCTTGTTTCTTCATATTTTCCTGTTTGGTCATTTTTTCCTTCCTTCTGGTCTACTCCCTTGATTTAAGTCCCAGTTTCCTTTTCATCACTATTGGTTTCCTGTGCATTTCCCTTCATTTCAGTTAATTTAGCCTTCATATGTTCCTCTAATTTGTGACTAAAATCAACCAGTTCTGTGAGCATCCTGATCACCAGTGTTTTGAACTGTGCTTCTGATAGGTTGGCAATTTCTTGTTCGCTTAGATTTATCGGCTCTGGGGCTCTGAGTTGTTCTTGAGCCATGTTTTGATCTGATCACGCCTATTACGTTTGAGGAGAGGCGCCTTAGGTATTCACCAGGGTGGGGCCACCCAGGTCACTAGTTTGTGATGCTGTAGGCGGGGGCGGGGTCAGAGAGGGAACAATGGCCGTCCTCTCCACTCCCTCCTGCCCGTCTGCCTCACCTCTCGGCGCCCCCCCTACCCCCACCACCGCCTGTTTATCTGCACACACACCTGTGACCGAAGTCAGCCCACTGCCCTGCACTGGGGCCTGCGTGGTCTGTCTTAGTGCTCGTCCCTTCACTGGTTTACTTGTACACAAATTCGAGACCACGGTCAGCCAGCCACCCTGCGCGGTCTGTCTCAGTGCTCATCCCTTCACTGGTTTACTTGTACACAAATTCGAGACCACGGTCAGCCAGCCGCCCTGCGCTTTCACTGGGTCCGCTACCCCTCACCTGGGATCCGCACCCTTGGCTGCCTTCGGGCCTGGGGGGATCTTTTTTGCCTGACCCACTCCGCTGCTAGCTCTGCCCCTCTCACCAATTTAGCTGAGCAGTTCATTGTTGTCGGACTCCGTATTGGATTTTCTTTGGTTTGGCTGCGTTTATTGTTGTTAAAACTTTGTTGTTTTTAGATTTGGTTGTGTGAGAAGGCAAAGTGTTTCCACCTATGCCTCCATCTTGGTGGAAGTCCTCTGATTTTTTTTCTTTAAGCAAGTCATGTATATAGTCAAGAAGACAGGAACAAAAACTATCATGCATAGTTACATCACTATGCATGCCAAGAGCAAATAGTTATTCTTTGAGAGTGAGTTTAACTTAGAATTTAATGTCTCCTAAATGTTCCTGTTCATTTTGATATCTGACCTTCAATGTTAATGACCAGTCTTATATCTTAAATTAATAACATATTCCTAAGGCTAGTCTGGTTCTTAACTTAAGCCTTAAATTCAGAAAAGTACCAACCTAGACAGGCTTTTCCTGGTTAATCATCCTTATTTAGTAAAAGTCAATGGTTTATACTACTTTGAGGTCATTTCTAGGATGTGCTCCATTAATCCTCCTTAGTGAAATTGTGCTGTTGTCTGAAAGAGCTCAGGATTCTAGTGCTTCTGTTCAACTCAATAATATAAGTCCTCCCAGGGAGGTTCCAGACAGATCTTGTCCAAGATCTGCAGAGTACTGAAGAAACTCTTTTAGTTTTAACCTATATACACATAAATCTGTTATTTTTATTGTCACTGTGCATCAGGAGTTCTAAGTGCTACTTATGACCCTGTCACTTTATTATCTTGTTATTTTGTGCCTTAAATTCTCCATCCACAAGAGGATGATAGTAATAGTGACCCATGATTCAGAAGCACTACCTTCTTTCTTTTTAATTTTGATTTTATTTTTATTAAATTTATTAGGTTACATTGGTTAATAAAATTTTACAGGTTTCAAATGTACAGCTCTTTTTCTTTTTGTAATTTTTAAAATTTAATTACTGTTCAAGTACAGTTTTCTGTCTTTTACTCTCATCCCAGTCCACCTCCCCCCCAGTGCTCCCTACCTTCCTCTCATTTCCACCCCCCTTGGTTGTTGTCCATGTGTCCTTTATACTAGTTCCTGTAAATTCTTTTCCTTTTCCCCCTGAAATTCCCTCCTCTCTCTCCTCTGGTCACTGTCCCCCTGTTCTGTATTTCAGTGTCTTTTTAAAATTTTACTTGCTAGTTTATTTTGTTGCTAGCTTCCTGTTAAAGGTTAGATCATATGGTATTTGTCTTTCAACACCTGGCTTATTTCACTCAGCATAATGCTTTCCAGTTCCATCCATGCTGTTGCAAAGGGTAGGAGCTCCTTCTTTCTGCTGCATAGAATTGTGTATATGTACCATAATTTTTTGATCTATTCATATACTGGCAGGCACCTAGGTTGCTTCCAGCTCTTGGCTATTGTAAATTGTGCTGCTATGAACATTTGGGTGCATAGGTTCTTTTGGATTGGTGTTTTAGGGTTCTTAGGATATAATCCCAGCAGTGGAATTGCTGGGTCAAAAGGCAGGTCCATTTTTAGTTTTCTGAGAAAATTCCATATTGTTTTCCACAGAGATTGTACCAGTCTGGAGTCCCACCAACAATGGATTAGGGTCCCCTCTTCACACCCTCTCCAACACTTGCTGTTTGTTGCTTTGTGTATGATAGCCATTCTGACTGGTGTAAAGTGGTATCTCATTGTGTTTTTAATTTGCGTCTCTCTGATAGCTGGTGATATTGAGCATGTTTTCATGTGTCTCTGGATCTTCTGTATGTCCTCCTTGGAGAAATGTCTGTTCACGTCCTTTGCCCACTTTGTAATTGGGTTGCTTGTCTTCTTGGAGTGGAGTCGTGTAAGTTCTTTGTATATTTTGGAGATTAAACCCTTGTCTGAGGTATCATTGGCAAATATGTTTTCCCATACAGTTGGTTGTCTTTTTAATTTAATACTGTTCTCTTTAGCCACGCAGAAGCTTTTTATTTTGATGATGTCCCATTTGTTTATTCTTTCCTTTATGTCCCTTGCTCTAGGGGACAAATCAGTAAAAAAGTTGCTGTGTGAAATATCTGAAATTTTCTTGCCAGTGTTCTCCTCTCGGATTTTAATGGTGTCATGGCTTATATTTAAGTCTTTTATCCACCTTGAATTTATTTTGGTGTATTTTGTAAGTTGGTGCTCAAATTTCATTTTTTTGCATGTAGTTGTCCATTTCTCCCAGAGGCTATTATTACTCCATTTTATGTTACTGCCCCCTTTGTGAATATTAATTGGCCATAGAGATTTGGGTTTATTTCTGGGCTCTCTGTTCTGTTCCATTGGTCTACATGCCTGTTTTTATGCCAGTACCAGGCTGTTTTGATTACAGTGGCCTCATAATATAGTTTGGTATCAAGTATTGTGATCCCTCCTACTTTGTTCTTCTTTCTCAAAATTGCAGCTGCTATTTGGGGTCATTTATGGTTCCATATAAATTTTTGAAGTGTTTGTTCTATGTCTGTGAAGTGTGTCATTGGTACTTTAATAGGTATTGCATTGAATCTGTAAATTGCTTTGGGTAGTATGGACATTTTGATGATGTTAATCTTTCCAATCCATGAACACGGTATATGTTTCCCTTTGCTTGTGTCTTCCTTGATTTCTTTCTTCAGTGTTGTGTAGTTTTCTGCATACAGGTGTTTTACCTCCTTGGTTAGGTTTATTCCTAGGTATTTTATTTTTCTTTTTGCTATATCGAATGGGATTTATTTCTTGATTTCTGCTTCTGCTGTTTCATTGTTGGTATACAAATATGCCTTTGATTTCTGGATATTGACTTTGTATCCTGCTGTTTTGCCAAATTCATTTATTAGGTTGAGCAGTTTTGGGGTAGAGTCTATAGGGTTTTCCATTCAAGTG